TTTTCCAAGGGTGAAGGGGTGTAACGGAGGGCGGGCGCTTCCTCACAAGGACCCTCTCCTTTGGCGGCAGGGTGCATGGCGGAGAGGCTTAAGGAGGAGATTCTGCACAGGGAGAAGCTGGTCGATGTTGTGGCAGGCCCTGATGCCTATCGTGACCTTCCCCGGCTGCTGGCCGTGGCAGAGTCTGGCCAGCAAGCTGCTAACGTCCTGCTCTCGCTGGACGAGACTTACGCAGATATCCTGCCTGTCCAGACTAGCGCGGGAGGCACCACAGCGTTTGTGTAAGTACCTTTTTTTTGTTTTCCTGTGCACATTTCTGTGGTTCTGGCGTGGAAGTCCTGCTGTGCGGAACAGACGTGTCAGTGACAGCAGCTACCCCGGAGATGCGATGCCTGGTTGCACTCGCTCCCGGCAGCCCGGAGGCGTGAGTCTACCAGACTCTGCTCTTGCTGCTGCTTCGCTGTCTGACTGAGCCCTGGAGAGTCTGCCCCGTGCTCTGGCTGTCTGCAGGCTTCTCCCCTTCGAGAGCGTTGGTTGTCTAAGCCCGACGCTGCACCGAGTGATTTCTGTCCCGCCGACATCTGTGCCTTTCTAAAGCCTGTGCCTCTCTCATCCCCTGCCTTCTGCTATGCCCTGCCTCAGGTTCTCCTGTTTCATCCTTCTCCTCCTCCCTGCATGGTGGCTTCTGTCACTTTAGTTTCCATTTGCTTAGTTTCAATAAGAAGATTCTCAAATGTGAAGCCGGGCTCTGCTCAGTGTGGTCGCAGAGTGCAGGGCAGTGTCACCCTCTGCAGGAACAGGGTGCAGAAGGCTCTTCCATCGCTGCCAGATCGCAGTGCGAGTCTGTGCCTCGTTAGTTGCTTCCCAGGTTCCTTGGAGATGGGCCTGAAAGGTCGGGTGTTAGCCAGGGGCAAAGAGAAGCCAGCTCTGCGGGCGCGGCGCGTCAGGGGGAGTAGCAGACCTGAGGTCTGAGCCTGTGCTGGGGGCACGGCAGGCCCAGGGCCTTGGCCGAAGGCCGCGGTGCTGGGCCAGCTGGAAGCAGGGCGGGATGCAGCGTGGGTGGTTCTTCCGAAGCGATCGCAGCATGACCTGCGCTTCGCCCCCCGGCAGGTCCATCATGCGGGGCTGCGACAACATGTGCAGCTACTGCATCGTGCCCTTCACCCGCGGCCGTGAGAGGAGCCGCCCCATCACCTCCATCCTGCGGGAAGTGAGGATGCTCTCGGATCAGGTGAGGCACGGCCTGTCCCAAACCGCGGGCGGAAGGGTGGTTCTTGGTGAAAGTGTTTTCGGTGGCGCCTTTGACGGATGGCGCTGCCTTTGTCTGGGAGAGGAGGTTGCCACAGGGCTCCACCGGTGGCTTTCAGATCCCCCTTGTCATACCCTGAGACCGGCAGGGAAGGGAGGGCTTCCCTTGGAGGCTGCTCCCTGCAGCAAGAGTAAGACCATGGCTGCCCGGGCAGCTTGGCCGTCCGGACCCAGCTGTGTTTTCTTCTCTCTGTTTATTTTTGTAGGGAGTGAAAGAAGTGACCCTGTTGGGTCAGAATGTCAACAGCTTTCGGGACATGTCTGAGGTGCAGTTTCAGTCAGCTGCTGCCCCAGGCCTCAGTCGTGGCTTTAGCACAGTCTACAAAGCTAAACAGGGAGGCTTGCGCTTTGCCCATCTTCTGGACCAGGTTTCTAGAATTGATCCAGAAATGAGGATCCGTTTCACGTCGCCACACCCCAAGGATTTTCCCGACGAGGCAAGTGTGAAATAAACACCTGGACTTGTGCTTGCGGGCGGGCCGGCAGCTCTGACCTGCCGGGTGTGGGCTGCGCTTCCTTCCCAAAGGGAGCGAGGCATCACGGGATGGGAACAGCAGCTCCTGGGAGGGGGAGTGCTTGCGCTGAAGCTGGCGGGTTTGTGGTTTGCTGGCGTTTGCCCAGGGAAGACTCTTCCCCTCGGCTCCCTGGTGGAGTTGAGCTGTCTGTGACGTTGTCTCCCGTTTGCCCGTCACAGGTCCTACAGCTTATCCAGGAGCGACACAACATCTGCAAACAGCTTCACCTCCCCGCCCAGAGCGGAAGCACGCGAGTCCTGGAGGCCATGCGGCGAGGGTGAGGGACCGCCTGGCCAGGCCTGGGCGCTGCTTTCTCCTCACCGGAGTCACAGTTTTCTGATGAGCGAATCCACGTGTTGTGCCTTGCAGATACACAAGAGAAGCTTATTTGGAGCTTGTGCAGCACGTGCGTGAGTCCATCCCAGGTAGGGGCTCCCTTTGCCTTGGTCGGAGCTCAGCACCGCTGTCACTTGCTGTCCTTCCTCGAGCGAAGCGTTCCCCTCTCCCTTGGGGGAGGTGTAAAGCTGCGTCTCTGTTACAGGGGTGAGCTTAAGCAGCGATTTCATTGCCGGCTTCTGTGGCGAGACGGAAGAAGACCACCAGCAGAGCGTGTCCTTGCTGCGGGAAGTCCGCTACAACGTGGGCTTCCTCTTTGCCTACAGCATGAGGCAGGTGAGTGCAGGACCTGGTGGAGAAGACTCTTAACGCCGGGCATCTCGCTGAGCTCCTGAGTGCTGTTTCTCACAATAAGATGCTAAAAAAAGAAATCTATTGAAAATAATACCTAAAGGCTTGTTATAGTGGTAGGATTTTTTGCTGGTGTACAGCCCTTCAAGGGTACGTGGTGCTGCAAGAGCCGCCTTTGTGCCTGAAAGGCTTCCAGCTCCCTCATGCCTGTGTCAGGGCTGGTTACTGATGGGGTGACCTGGTGCTGCAGGTGCTCCGGAGCGACTGCAGTGAAGCAGCCGTGTCTGCAGAGCTGGCTGCAGGCACACTGTCCTGTGCTGGTGAGAAATGGTGCTGAGGTAGCTGGGCTCCAGCTACAGGGGCTCTGTCAATCGAGTCTAGAGAGAACTGGGGAATTTTCACAAGGTATTTCCATGAGAAGTGTGGATAGTTGACACATCTCCTTTAGAATGCTTCCCATGGTGTGAGATGCTGAAGGGGAGGAGGGCAGGAGGTTGGGAAACAGGGAAGCAAAGGCACTCGGATCACCCCTTAGCCCGTGGGACTAGAAGCAGCACAATTGTCCTTGCGGCAGACAGGCGGCAGGCGCAGAACTGCGGCACGCAGCCGCCGATGCTCAGCGCCCTACGTCAGACCTTCTGCCAGAAGGGTGGTGCAGAAAGAATGAGGAGCTCGAGGATGTGGCTGGTGCTTAGCACCTGAAAGCGGTCCTTGAGATTGTAGATGCAAACTTGATGTGTGGAAAGCTGCTGCCCGAAGAGCAGCCAGGCTGGCTGGGGTCAGAGGAGGTGCTGATCTCAGCCTGTCGGGTTGTGGAGGAGCCACACGCGCTTTGTCTGTTCGCAGAAAACCCGGGCGCACCACCGGCTGCAGGATGACGTGCCTGCCACCGTGAAGAAGCGGCGGCTGGAGGAGCTCATCGCTGTCTTTCGAGAGGAGGCTGCAAGGGCAAACGAGGCGATGGTGGGCCAGTCTCAGCTGGTGCTGGTGGAGGGGGTGAGTGTGCCTGGCGCAGGGTTGCTGCCGGCCAAGAGGCCCTTCGGCTGCACGCAGCCGTCCTCGCCTCTGCCTCCCCTTCTCGCCTTCCCCGTGCCTTCACGCTTAAGCAGACAGGCTGATTTCTCCAGAGCGCTGAGCTGAGCCCAGGGGCTGGGACGGATGGAGCCGCGTCTCTGCCCAGCACCGCGTTCGTGCAGGCTTGGCAGCGCTGGCTGTGGCGTGTGGGTGTGAGCCCAGCAGCTCTGAGCGCGGAATGTGGGTTTTCATTCTGGCATCAGGGCTCAGTTAACTCCCGAGGCCGTAAAGCCCCGCAGTGAATCCGAGCTGTTGCCATGCCGGTGACGTTCCCTGTCCTGCTTTCAGCCCAGCAAGCGCTCTGCCGCGGAGCTGTGTGGGAGGAATGACGGCAACATCAAGGTGATCTTCCCTGATGCCGAGGTCGGGGATGCTGCGGGCTGCAGGGCTCTGGTCAGAGCCCGGCCGGGGGACTACGTGCTGGTGAAGGTGACCTCTGCCATCTGGGTTTCCTCGGGCTCTTTTGCTGGTCTGGTGCTGTTCTCCAGAGCAGCTGCTGCCAGGAGAGCCTGAGATGAGAGTGGGTCCTCCTCAGCCTGTCTGCTCCTGAGGACTGTTGTGCTGCTCTTTCAGGTAACCGCTGCCAGCTCTCAGACCTTGAAGGGAGTTCTGCTCTGCCGTACCACCCTCTCCCGCCCCGCGGCTTCTCATCAGGGTGTTCCTGCTGCCAGTGGACAGAAGCAGCACGTTTTCTCCGGGAAGGAACAAGGAAGTTTGGTCAGGAGATAGGGTAGGAACAGGCAGATATAGATAGATAGAGATATATATATATGAAATAATAATAATCAAATATGTATATTTCTCTTTTGGCAACAACCTCCCCTCATAGATCTGTGCAAGTTTGTAGGCAAAAGAGATGGAAGCTGTGCGCGGACTTGCCAAACCCCAGCGCTCTGTGATCCTGTGTTTTCCCTTGCCCTCAGGCCTGGCCCGCCCGTGCCGCGCTGCAGCTCTGCCCGCTGCTTCGGTCACGTCCCCGAAAGCAGCCCGGCCTGAGAAATGTGTGTCTGCAGAGCGGGTCGTTCCTGCTGGCTCAGCTGAATTCAGGAGCTGCAGAAACTGGTGGTGCCTACCAAATACAGCTCCGGGAGCTGCTGGAGGTGGCAGGAGTAGTGCCGGAGGGGGCGAAGAGCTGGAAGGCAGGAGAACATGGTGGTGGATTCTTTCTGAATGCTGGTGACTTCCCTGTCTGCAAAATACTTGGAAAAGGGGAGTGAGGACCTGCACCGTGCCCACGTGTTGGAATGTGGCACTGAGCTGGGGAATGTAAAAGGGTGATGAAGTGCAGGGGTGATGCTTCGTCTGTTGTGTGCGAGGCCGAGGGCGCGCAGCCTCGCCCTTGTGCCGGGCCGTTTGGGTCTGGGTCAGAGGTTGTGGCGTTGTGCCATATTCCAGCCTGGTCTGCTAAATTCAAACAAGTCCCTGTAACCCTCACTTGTGAGGAAACTCTCTTATGAGATGTGAGAAGGAGCCACCCCTTTTGGTAGAGGTAGCCACGTTGTTAAAAGAAATAACTGCAAAAGGCTTTGTCCGGCGATGCATTTTGAAGGAACAGCTGATCCAGCTTTAACAGAGCAGTCACGACATGAATTTGGAGAATTTTTAAATAAACATGAAAGGGTTTTGCTAGAAAGTCTTCTCTCAGCTCTTTCTGGGATATTATTGTATCTCTTTGAAAACAGCGTGGTTCGCTGAATATTCATTAGACCTTGGTCTAAAGAAACAAGCACCCGTTGCTTGCTGTCTCGGAGCCGGTTCTCTTCTCATGGAGGCGAATCTGCACCGTCAGCGCTGGCCGCGGGGGCTCTGAGGCGCTGCCAGCCCACGGGCCGCTCTGCTCTCCTGCCTCCCACCGGGAGGGTGCCCTAGGCCCAAATTCACAAGCCGCGTCTGGGACCTCAGCTGCCGGGTCAGCGTGAGCCTTCGCCCCGCGGGTCGTTAAGGAAGAGGCGGCGAGCAGCAGCTTGGTTTGCAGTGCCAGAGGAAGGAGGGGGGTGTCAGCGTCGTCCCTCAGAGGCGACAGCACCGAAGCTGCGTGGGCTGGCTAATTACCGCAGCGGGTGAGTGGCCCAGTTTTACCTGCCCTGCCGCGGCTCTTTGGGCTCGTTTTTCCCATCAAACCGCCAGCGCCCCCTGCACGGGGCTGACACCCACCCTTGGCTGCTCATTGTGACCCTCTCCCCCGAGCACCCATCCCCAGTGAGCGGCGGGACCACCCTGTGCCCTCCCGGCTCCGTCCGGCTTCCAGGCCAGCTGCCGTCGTTTTGCAGCCGTTACGTTACGAGCAAGAGCCTAACGAGGAGGAGAGCTGGGCCGTACGTTTTGATGAGAGGGTGATGCCACTCGCTGCACAGAGTCCCCAAGGAGCCGTAGCGCTCGCCGTTTGCCTCGCCTCCTTAGCTTTTATAGGCCTCGGCAATGGAGGCTGAGGCTTTCAGGCAGTGAAGCGTCCGTTAGGAAGTGCCGACAGTGACCTTGGAGGCCGCGTTCCTCATTCCGCACTGCCTGGAAGCAGGGATGGTTTTTTTTCTCGAGGGCAGAGGGTGGGATGTGGTGTCTGTATCGCCTGTCAGGTTTGCTCCCTGAATCTGGCTGCTGCGAAGGCAGAGCTTGTGTCTTGGCCTTGTTCTGCCTCGTGCTCGTTCCTGCCCGTCTCTTTTCCCAGCCTGAGCAGGAGTCCTGAGCTCCGCAGGACTTTAAACCTCGCGCGCTGGTTTGTACCTGTGCCTTCTGCAGCTGGAAGCTGACGTGTTGCGGCGTTCCTCAGCGACGGAAGGGAGTTGTTTTGCTGGGGTTGCCGCTGTAAGACGACTGTGGCTCCAAACCGAAATACTGGTTGGGGGAACATGCGCTGATCTCTGCTCTGCAGAGAAACACGGGCCCAGGGATCGGCACCCAGCCTTGGCAGGAACATGCCCGCCAGTGAAGAGACCTCCTAAGCTTTTGTTATCCAGAGTGTGGTGTTTAGAAGCCTTAATTTCAACCAATTTTGTAAGTGTCCTCATGAGATACGTTTGTAAGGAAGCTCAGTGCTCGCCTCTAGTACCCCAAACTCTGGGAACCAGCTCTGGGGTGGTCCTGGGGCACCCCAGGAGACAGCGGCCCTGCTGTAATTTGAAAGCTGGATCCTGGTGCTGTTCTTTTGGAAAAGAGCTTCAGTCAGGCCCTGCCAGGTCCCACGTGCCTCTGGGTGTAGAAGCTCCTCAGAAGCAAAACACGACCGGGTGGATGGTATTTTGTTTTAGGGGTGTCTCAGGAGTCTTCCTCAGGTCAGAACCACAACTCTAAATCCCTCCTCCCTGTGCAGCCCATGTTGTTCCGTGTGCTCAGCCTTCCTGCGTCCACTTGCTTGGGGTGGAAACTGCTGGCGAGAGCAACAGCAGACCAGAAGTCACCAGCCTCGGGAAGAAAAAAAAGGGAAAAAAGCCACGTCAGAGCAATGGAAGTTTTTATTCGGATGGTTTCGGGGGTGTCTGCTTGCTCTTTCTGCTCTTTATATTCCTATGATTCCAAGTTCATAGTCCCAGAATTGGGCAGAGTGGATTTCCCAAGTGCAGGAGACCAACCGCCTTGTAACCCTGCCCTGAACCCTTCCCACAAGATGCTGTGCTCGGGGCACGCCCGGGAAAGGGCGCAGGAAAAGCGACAGCAGCGATCTGCGTCCTGGCCCTTTGCTGGGGCAGATTGGGTAAGAGCCAGGGGATTGATGGGATGTGTGTGAGATGCCCGGGGCATCGGTGGAAACACCTTCCGCGAGGAGCCCAAGAGCCACCCTTGCCGCGTGCTGGACCAGAGCAGGCTCAGGGGGAGCCCGTGGCCGAGGTGATGGACCCTCACTTGCCCTCCACAGGGCTGGGTGCCGAGGGGGCTGCAGGGGAAGGTGGCAGCTCACCAGCAAAGGACCAAACCTGCTGGAAAAGCAGATTGAACTCCTTCTGCTCAGAGAAAAGGCAGCCCCCAGCCCGCGCCAGCCTCTGGGGCTGCACAAGCGAGACACCAAACAGCCCTCGGGATGCTCCTGCTGACTCCTGCCGGGCCGGGCACGGGCTGCGGCACCGAGTCCGGTCACGGCCGTAGCTGTGTGGGCAAAGCACCCGCACACGGGGACCCCAGGGCGTCACTGCGGCTCCAGCCCAGTCCAGCATTACCGGTACGTGGCGACAAAACCTGGGATTTAGTGCTGCTGGGAACAGGTCTGTGCTGTCCCCCCTGCCCAGCCCCGCTGGCCGCAGTGACGGAGCCGCAGG